CTCCATTCCAAGAGGTTTTTACTCACATGCCACCTTCTAAGCGAGACCTCTGTTTCTTCCTCTCTGTCGCGTCCAGTGGACTCACACACATACGCGTGTCCACACGCACCCACGACACTCCCTCCCACCCTTATCCTTTTCAGTTTTCTCCTTAGCACTTTACCACTCTCTAACGTGCTGCGTATTTTACCTGTTAATGCTTGTATTTTGCCCCCCTCTAGAATGTAAGCCCCAAGAGGGAGGGCTCTGGGTTTGCCTTGTTCGCTGCTATGTCCTCAGTGCCCAGAATGGGGTCTAGCACAGAGGAAATGTGAATAAATGGTCGGCGAATGAAACAATGCAAGAATAAAAAAGTTATTGAATAAATGCAGTGACAAAGCCTGTGTGTTTTTACCCATCTTGATGTTTTCCTTCTTTCTTCCTCCCGACCTAGGTAATGGATAAACTGCTGGATGGTGACTTGACAAATGACCTTTCTTACTTCCAGAATGTTACAGGATGTTCTAATTACTATAACATTTTACAGTGCACGGTAATGACATTTTAAAAACCATGATAGTGTTTGCTTAAAAGTTTTGGCAAAACTAGGCTTCCTCCTGTTTGGGAAATATAGCTGGCTTTATACTAGACAAATATACCCAAACTGTATTTTATTATTTGGTCTACTAATCTATAGGATTTTTTTTCCCCCATCAATGTTGTATACATTAAAATCTGAGCATTGAGGATGTGTGATATTACAGATAAAATAATCTCTGATTAACACCCCCCCCCCCAAAAAAAAGAGCTTCTTATACAGAAGTTCTTTTGTGAAGGATAGAGGCCAGGATTGCAGTTCTGGGCATCAGGCCGCAGAGTTCCAAGCCTGTAGTGAGTTTCTTGAAAATGCCCACATTATTTGTTCTGTACTTAAGACAACTTGGATAATCAAAACTGCCAAAGCCTTTCTGAAATATTTGCTTTGTCTTGCTTTTAACTTAAGATGTTTCGTGCATTTAGTATGGGCCTCATTTCGAGCCCTCAGAATATTTCTCAAAGTATTCAAGTAGCTTCTTTCATAAAAGTAGGCCAAAGTTGATGTCTTTTATGTAGAATTAATCAAATAAGACAGAATGAGCCAAAGTGGGTATTTGGATAATCAAATCTTTGCATAATGTTTATGAAAATGCATTCTGTTTATAAAATTCCCTTATTTATGAACTATTTTGTAAATAAACTATAAAGCTAATTTCAATGGAATTTGCTGGCCTTGTGGTTTTGGACTTAGATTTTTACCAAGAGAAAGACATAAGATATCAAGAGAGAAACAAAATTTCTGACTAGATTTTTTTCAGAGTAATATATTCACAGTTAGCAAAAATTGTTGATGATGCAGAAAATTTTTGATCTCGAACTCTAACAGCTTTTTATTCTTTTATAACTTACAGTACAGTGAATATTACAGACTTTTATGCATTATTTTTTTTTTAACGAGGCTCAAGGATAACTTTTCCTATCATCTTTATTTTACACTCTATATTTTCCTTTTTAAATTATGTTGTGTGTGTGGTTTTAATAAACAGAACATGGAAAAGAAATCCTTAGCTTGTACCCACGTGCCATCACCCTGGCCCCTTGTGGTCATTTGATCTTCTTTCCATAGATCCTCCAACAAGGAGCAAATTGATTTTGATAATCTCACCTCTTCTGTTTTCCCTATCTTTGCCTCCAATGGGGTTATTAATTGGAGTCACAGATTGCAAATGTTATAGTTTCCTAAAAGGAAAATCCATCATTTGCAGATTGGGTGTTGTCTCTGAGAATATCGGATAGTCCACATTTGTTGTTAGTAAAATTTAAATTACCTCAAAACCCCCAAGTTAAATTTTTCTGGGTGGAAACAGAATCGTCATATCACATCTCGTTCATTTGAGCTATATGTTACGAGAAATTTGAAGCTTTGCCTAAATTTTAGCTGTTCTGCCACTCAGTCATGTCCCTAATATCTTTCTGATGCCCCATTTTGCCAGGAACCTAAGGACCAAAGTTACTATGGGGAATTTTTGTCCCTCTCAGAAGTGAGACAAGCCATCCATGTGGGAAACCGCACTTTTAACGATGGAACCGAAGTTGAAAAATACTTGCGACAAGACACAATGACATCAGTTAAGCCATGGTTAGCTGAAATCATGAATCATTATAAGGTAAGAGAGTTACTTCGCTTGCTATCTATCTTGCATTTTTCTCCCACTGCTGGTCTCCTCACCCCCTCTGATCGTCCAGGGCTGTCATCACCTGTCCTGTGCCTGGTTTGTGGGGCGACTCAGCAGGAGGAGTGTGCTAATGCTGGAGGAGACCACCACCTAAGGGGATCTACCTCCTCTCTGTTTCCTGTCAGAAGGAGGAGTAATGTTTGGAATGAACAAAAAACAGAGCAGCCAGTAACCAAAATGCCTTTGCATGAATTAGAAAAAAGGCAAATTCTCAAGATACTTTGTTTCCATCTATCAAAAATTGTCCTAATACACTGCTTTTATTTGAACCAGACTCTTTACTGCCATTTTCTGGCACGAGGAATACACATTTCTATGTTAGGAATAGTGTCCCTTGGGATTGTTCATTGTACAGACCTCAGCACTGTCCAGGGGAGTCCCTGGCCAAATGCACCATTACTAGGTTGTGTTTTAGAATATGCCAGGCCTAGAAGGCCCATTTTTTCTGGTCCTGCTTCTCATACAGAATTTAGTCTCTAGACACGCAAACCTTTTTGAAAATAATCGAAGGTCAATGGCATGCAGTCTACAAACCTATTATAATCTGTAGAACTTGATGAAATACTTTCCAGGAAAGAAAGGGTCTAACTAGATGAGGTCAGAATTTCACTCGTCCTTGTGTTTGGTTCTGTCAGGAGAATGTAGTGGCCCTTCATGCTTGCCTGTCTGGAACCTTCTCTGAGACCTTCATAAAGCACTGCTGGCTGTCTTCTTCTTTGAGCTCTCAGGCCGTGTTGTCTCTACACTCTTGACACACTAAGCACACTATACTGCTATTATGAGTTGTCAGGTCTAGCACCAGCCTGGAGCAGGCGAATGAATGAATGAATGAAAAAAATCATTCCATAAATTAGTGCTATATCAAAACTATACCTAACAAACGTGCCCATCATCCATTAGATATTTATTATTCACAAATTTATTAAACCAAAAACAGCTTTTGTGTTTCAAGACATAACCAGTTCACTATAATATAACATTAAGGAATGCAAAGTGGTTTTTTTGAGTAAAGAGGAGATAAGGAAGTTCTCATGTACATTTTTCTTGTGCCCTTGGGAGATATATTTCTTACTGTATAAATTTAACTAGAAAATGATTCTTTTCTCAGCCTAGTGAGGATAGTTTATATCATCAGATGAGCTGATATTAGCTAATCACCCTAGAGTGTCCACTGGATTGATAAAGGAGAACGCGTTGATTAAAGATGATCCCGTATTTTGATGTTTAAACTTCTCCGTTTCTGTTTCCCATGTATCCTAAACTAACCAATATGAATGTCAATGAAATCAGAATATTTTCTAAACTTTTAAACTCTGAATCAGTTATCAGAAGAAGAGAATGGATTAGTGGTGCCGATAAACCAGGTTTCCATAAAGAAAGAGGAAGTGTTCAGTTAATCTGAGTGCAGACCGAAAAGTGGCTGCTGCTAAAACAGACGGCAAAGTCATTGCCACAGCGATCATGGCCCACAGGGCAGCAATGATCTCTGGCTTGTCTGCAACGGCGGTGAACCTCGATGTATACGGAATGGAATCAGAACAATCTAGATTGGCTTAAAACATTAGTACCCTCAAAGTGATATTTATGTAAGACTCGGTGCTAATTTGTCATAGAAAATAGTGCACATGTTTCTCTTCGTAGGAACCTGGAAGTGTTTTTCCAGTACTAGATTCATTTTAGCCAATGTAGAACATCTCTGGTGGGCTGAGGAAGACTTGCATCGGTTTCTGGGAACTGATGGAACTCCCGTGGTACCTCAGTTTCTGGGCAGACTACATGAAAATGTAATCCTTTTCTTGAAATGACCTATTGAGGATGTGTACTCAAAGTCATTCTCTTTTCAGTAATTTCAGCTGTCTGGGTAGTAAAGGGAAATATCGTATTAGCAATTTCCAAAATAACTAGAACGGGAAATAATCTGTTGGACTATTGGAATGCTTCATGCTGAAATCAGGTCATAATATTATCAGGATTTTTAGGATTCAGCTGGGTCATAGAGCATGGCAGTTATGAGCATGGGGCTCTCAAGTTAGATGTTTTGAGCTTGAATTCTGGTTCCACCATTCAAGTGTTCCTTTGGGGGAAGATGCTCATCTTCAGCTTCCTTCTTTGTGAAATGGATATCATTACAACTTATAGGTGAGTTATCGTGAGGTTTAAATAGAATATGTATGTAAAACATACAGCAGTGACTGTTGGTTAGAGAATGCTGGAAAATATAAGCTGTTACTAATGATAGTCAACAAATTTTAACGAAAGTTCTTAATCACCTGCTGTATACAAAAGTTATATCAGAAACCCTGGAAAACACAAAAACAAGAGACTTGACAGACTTACAGTTTCTAGTCCAGCATATAAGGAGCTTAGAAGTTACTACCTAACAACATCCTAAGAACAAGTAAAAAGCTGAACAAACTGAAAAATCAACAACTCTTTTTAGATCTGTCAGAGAAGTGAGGTCACAGGGCAAAGCACTTCCCCAGGGGAATTCAGTCATGAAGGGGTGGGGGGCGGGGAGGATGCACACTCTAGGTAGTTTTAGTTCTAGGAATTCTACCAGGCTCCTATGGCGAATATTGGAGAAAAATCCCCTCTGCTTTGGGCAGAGGAAGGAAAAAGTAACCATTTTGAAATACAGCAGAGCCATTCTGTTTTTCTTAACAAGCCCTGCCCTCAGGAAACTTTTACCAGAGCCTAACCTGCTGGGGTTTTATTGGAGCCCAACCTACCTATGGGAACGGAAATACTCACCT